ATCAAGATCTCAGAGCTTAGTCTTCAAGAATAGACTAATATATAAATAACTTAAACCTTTAAAAAAGCAAGATTGAACTAAACATATAATATGTTAATATAACGTTAAGTAATATAATCATGTATATGTATATATATATATATATATATTTTCTTCTTTTCATAGAACTGTGTGTAAGTTTGCACCAACAGATAAAATGGAATAACAAGCAGTTGATGCTGTACCTTCATCATCCATGTCGGCGAATACAGAACGCAAATTGCTTTGATTGTCATCAATAGCACAGGCACGAGATGACGAGCATGAGACACTGATCATTTTTCCTCCTTTAGGTCACCTATTACCTGAAGAACTTAGTCAGGATTTGGACGCTGCACATGAGGTTCTCCTTCGCCATTCTCCACGCACTGACAAAGATGTTCCGCCGCCAAGGTGTGACACGCTTAACATGGCTGCCTAGTATGTGTTTAATCACACATTGACTCGTCTTCTCTACTGTTTCTCTTCCGTCCTGCATTCTCCAGCCGTATTGGAGGATCCACACATCCACAAGGAGACACTGGCTCGCAGTGATGCTCATAAGTGGCGTGAAGCTGAGCAGCTTGAACTCAATCATTTCCGCAAACCACGTGTTGGTCGTCTAACGCCGTTGCCACCCGGAGTTTGCTTGTCACCGCAAGCAATCTTGCATCTATAAAGCTTAATTTGTTGCACGAGGTGATAAGCAGAGACCAGGAGAAGACTGCCAAGAAACTTTTGCCTTTGTTGTTAGGCCCGAGGTTTTCCGTTTTCTCATGGCAATAATTTTAAACAAATGGTCTTGAAGCTCACTGCTGGGATATTGTTCCAGCGTTTTTACATGCTCTTCTCAACAATCCTACGCCATTTTATGCGCGTCCTCCAATCGAGTATGAAAAGTATGACTCTTGGAGCCAACTTCTAGTTTTCTTACTCTTGCGCGCTCTCTATGGTCTCAATCAGTCGCCTAGACTGTAGTATGAAGACATCACCACTTTTCTTGCCAAAAATGGTTTTCCTCCGTTACTTTCGGATCCTTTCTTTCGACTACATACAAATAGTAACTAATGGTGCTTCGGATTGACAACATGATTTCTGTCTCTGCTACTAATGCTGGCATCAATCAAATGCGCGACTTACTACTGTCTATATGTGAGATTTGAGACACGGGAGAGTTACAGGAGCACCAGGGCCTGCACATTCAACAATATTGGGCCTCGTACTCGATGACAGTAGATCAATCAAAGTACGCGTTCAAGATTCTCAAGACGTTTTATTTGGAAAACGTTCTACCTATAAAATAACAGGCGGCATCTACTACTCCTGCACCTGTTAGTTCTACTCAAGCAACGGCAGAAGAACACTTTCTATCAAGTTATGCTTGGCTCCTTGATGTGGCTTTCTGTTTAGACACGTCCAGATTTAGCTGAAAGATGTTCTCGCCTTAGTCAACATTGTCACAATCCTTCCGTAGAGCATTAGAGAGGTATCCGCAATGTGTTTGCATATCTAGTAGGCACCATAAATTTCGGTCTCTGCTATCACCGCCAGGCGCCACCAAGTCTAGAAATTTATTCCCGTGATTTCCACGATTAATTTGATGCAATCTTTGCGGATCACCATCAGGACAAGAAATCGACTAGCGGGTATCTCCTCAAACTATCCATGGGACAGGTTCTTGAAAATCGAGAAAACAAACTCTCACGGCGACTTCATCGACAGAGGAAGAATACGTTGCGTATTCTATTACATGCATGGACCCACTTTGATTACGGACTTTACTTCAGCAATTGTGCTATAGATCGCCTGCTGTTTAGAAAGTAGTGCTTTACAGTGATAATCAGCCTGCCATTTCGCTCACATTGAATCCAGAGCATCATACGCTCACTTAACGTATCGACATCCAATGACGTTCTGTCAAGGAGCAAGTCCAGAAAGGTTTGATCACTGTTCGCTATCTCTCCACTTAGGACATGCTTGCCGACGGTTTTAAAAAGCCACTTCTTGCTACAAAATTTCAAATTTTGGTTTTGGTCCTCCGTCTCCACAAGGTTTAGCTATTGCAAGGGATTCTTGCTGCCGCGACGGTCGTCTCTCGTTAACGTTCCTCAGTATGCTGTTGTGGGCGGTGTCTCAAGAGTTGTTCAATCTTGGTCGACTTGATCAGCTGACACTAGTTCTGCTGACGTTGTGCCCTAACGGCAAGAAGTTTCTTCGCATCTGGGCAAGCTGTCCGTTCAGGCCGCGCTGAATCAGACTAGTCAAATTTGAATAGCCAATCAGAAAAGTAGCGCTATATAGTCTAGCGACGATGTACTCTGCTGACGGAGAGGATCATTCATTTTTCATGATATTACTGGGATACATTCTCAACATTCTGCGTACACTTCTTGTGTTCTTCGTCTGTTATGTTTTTAGTGTCTCCACGAGATTGCACAAATACAGTTCCCCAGCTGTTTATTTTCGTTCGCAACAGTTTCTCTACATGCTTTTAATGCTGTTCAAATAAAATCAGCACTCCCCGTTTACATCATCATAAATAGCATTTGCGCCTCCTTCAAAACAAGACGGGACAGGCTACAGTTCAATGCGAAGCAATGACATTGGAACGTCTCATTCGAAATTGGGGTGAATTAAAATCTAATTGTTGGGACGTTAAAATCTCACAAGCGTATCCTATGGAACGCTCACTAAATTAGCAGGATGAGAACTAGTGTCAGCTGATCAAGTGACTTCTAGTTCTCAACCTGATCAGCTGACACAAGTCTCATTAGTTCAGGCCATCGCAAAACCTTGAATTGACTTCATCGACTGCGAATATGAACTTATAATAGTGAGTAGCAGCGCTAATGACAATGTTGCTGGTCTCAAAAATTAGAGACAAAAAAATTCCAGTTGTTCTACCTATTGCATCCACTAACCCCACACCAACCTAAGCCAGCTGATGAACGTTGTATGTCACCTGGAAGGCAGCGCATACGTACTATCATCGAACTTCTTGCGAGGCACCCTCTGAACCTCTAATCTACCATCGATTTCGCTCACGTCGATGCTCTCGAAATCAACGCAGTCGTCTGAGTTGATAACGACCTTGAGTTCATCTTCACCGGCCTCCAACGTGAACTCCCGGTACGTCCAGTGAATATCCACCTTAATATTGTGCCCCCCCCCCCCCCCCCCCCCCCCCGATTTGTAGGTTAGCAAGCTTTACTGAAGATCTCTAACTCCCAACGCTCAGGACGAAGACGTGGCTGGTCACAGTAGTGAGCTTCGAGCAGGCCACAACATGCCGAAAGGTGAACCAAATCGATACGAATAGTGGAAGAAGAGGAAGCACCAAACTTAGTCACTGAAACTTCAGAGACTTGTTCGATTGGTAACTATATGATGTGAAGTGTCAGAGGGCACCGACGCTTTATTCTAGCTGAACTTCAATAAACTCTCTCAGTTTGTGCGCCTCGGTACAGACAAGGCTGCAACTGGCCGGACGCTGGCACCGACTAGTCAGGCGAATGGAGTGAACCTGGTTGACAAAGTGACGTATTTATTTCTGGCATTGCTCCAGACCCACAAAGAGTACATGTGCTTCATGGAGGTCCAAGAGCTTGACGGCAACGCGATGTAGGCGGAAGAGAGGAAGGGACGGATGGAGATTTCAAAGAGGAAATACCAGTGACAAACGGTTTCTTTCCATGCAACCACAAGCACCACATCTTTGAACATGCCTTTCAAAGCAGCGCACTCGAAGAGCCCACCTGTGCTCACCATGGACCTACGTGAAACCCGGAATAAAATTTAATTTGTCCAATGTAGGACAGTGCCCTTCCGTGAAAACAAACGCCGACTCCCTAGGAGCACGGTCACCTATAAAGCAAATGCAGATTCCTGATCTCCAGACCGTCAGCCTGCGTCCCCGATGTTGGATTGTAGCAGGGTCGATACTTCGCACCCATCGAGAGCTTGAACAAGACTAGATCTCAGGACCAGTGGAGTGAATAGTTCCTGTTCTTTTTCGTTCAAAATTGTGGCTGCATTACGAGCCGATGGACGGCTCAATTCCACATATGCACAGAGCTCATGGTAATGACCAAAACATCTCATGCTCCTCGACTCGTTTCTACCTCTCTCTCTGCAACAAAGTCGCATTTAATTGCAGGGGTGTGGATGAGAGGGTGGGTGGCAGACCATGTCTGTTGTCGGTGTGAGCAAAATTTAATTTCCAACAAATACTTGGCTATCAAAATTGGTAGGAATAAATGCGCAAAATATGTGGATCTTGGATAGAGGACTTAAAATTGCCCTATTCAAAATTTTCATTCTAGTCTTGTGATTATTGTCACTCTTTTTATTCTTTCTTTTTCTACCTCTTCTTACTTCTCTTACAATCAACTTTTCTCATTAATTAATATTTTATTTAAGTATTTTTTTTTAGTTTACTTAATTTCTAAATATTATAATTTCTAAGTTCAAATTAAATAAATAAATTTTTTGAAAGACAATTTTTGTATAAGTCAAGGATCCTTACATGCAGGATTAAAGCGGTTTTTACAAAAATTCAAGTTAAGGGTGGTCTACTACCTTAGTACACTAGATCATCTAAATATTTAAAAGTTGGATGAAATTCCTGAATAAATAAAAATTGAAAAAAAATATAAATACAAAATACGAAATAAAAATAAAAATAAATCATAATCAATGAATAAATAATCAATCAAAAGTAAATATATTAGGAAATATTAAATATAATAGAGATTAATTAATCAAATGCTAATTAATAAGCTGATAATAATCTAAATAATAAATCTAATAATAAAATATAATTAATTAATTAAATTTCAAATTATTACATATTAATTTTTTATTTCTATTTAATTAATTACGTAATTGCTAATTTTTTAATAATATAATTACTAAAAATAACCATAAAATATAAACACTTAAGCTTTTTATGATAATATAGAATAAATTAAGAATTCATAATCAACAATTTAATTTCATGTATAACTGCATACTCATACTAAGTAGTTGCATGTTTAGTCAGATTCAATGCAAAATTGCTTAATAGAGATTTTCTTGTAGCATGCCACAATGAAATTCAATATTCTTGCTTTGAATCACTTACATATCTGCGGATCTCAACACACTCTAGTCTATTTTTATTTAATTATTTATTTTTATCTACGACTGTGGCAAAGCAGGCGAGCCCTTCGAAACTCAAGCTTGATATGTTCAGGGGTGTACTTATGCCACTGTCGAAGACTATGCGCAAGTCTACGCTTCTCTTGTTTCCAGGTACTGACGTAAACATCCGCTGAAGGCACTGCATCATTGAAGTATTTTGCGTTTGGGGTGAAGAGGCCACTGAGGACGGCTTGCGGGGAGATGAGGTCTGTGGGGTTTTCTACACACCTCCCTTGCCTGTAGAACTTGATGTACTGGTAGCAGATTGCATCTCCAGGGTTGAGGTAAAAGTGAGGAACCCAGTTCTGCAACTTCTTGAACTGTTCCCATTCGTTATGCAGCGCTGATTTGTTCCTAACCAACAGGTCTTTCAACTGCGAGAACTTCACTTCCAGTGCTGGAACAAGATCATCTCCTTCGACATTTTCTGGAGCTTTTGGTTTGGGTATAGCCTTTCCATTGATAACATCCACCACCGTCATCAAAGGAGGGTTAAACAGATGTGTGTCGATCTTGATGTCGTGAGCAGAATGCAAAAGCCCGCCGACAATGAGAGCAATCGCTGCCCCGAGCGAGTGCCCGGCGATGCAGATTTTCCCATTTGGGTTCTGGTTTCGGAAGTCCTTCACCACCTCCAAAATGATTTCCACGGTATCAAGAACTCGAGCGGATTTGTTCAGGGTCTCCACGGCAATCTTCAAATCCGCCAATATGTCCCATATTAAAGTGGGTATAGTACCCCGCAGCACGATTGCCAAATCTGGGGCTACGGGATTGCAATGTGAGGGCTTACGGAGGAAGAACGCCAGACCCAATTCTTTGAGGACCGACTCGGTTGCATGGCACCGATACGGTTCCCAATGCTCCTTCCCGTATTTCTTAGCTCGATCGTTCGTGTAGTCCATGACCCAAGCCCCGGCAGTTGTCAGGATATTCAAGTCCCGAAAGTAGGTGCAGTGCACCAGCATCGACATCACAGACCGCAGCGGCATATGTTCGTAATCTTCCTTGGCTAATTTCTCGTCGCCTTCTCGTTCAATGCGCACTTTGTGACCTAAGACACCGATAGCTCCAGCTATGAATAACTCCCCGCCCACCATTGTTGGTAGAACGTCTCTCGTACTCAACCCGGCCGGAATGCAATACGATGCTACCACTCAAATTAAGCGCAGATGAGGGACCGGAAGGAGATCACAGAAGAAGCTGCAGTTGAGCGGGGGAAAACATCAGCAACGGGTGTGAAGGCACAAACCGCAGCAGAAACCTTACACACAGCAATGCAGGAAGAGAATGGAGATGCGATCGTCAGGTGCGGTCATTTGCCACTCTTATTCAGTTTCCCTCAATGTTAGTTACCTGCGCCATTGGTTTGAAAATAGCATCCACTGTCCAACTTTGGAGAATCCAAGGCTCTGGATGCAAACGCATGCTTCTATATTATAGAGTTTTAGGTTGACGAGTGAGTTTTCCCTTCATGTATCAGACCGATTTTGGTGTATTATTTTTCTCTCCATTCAACCCGATTACATATTATAATATTTTTTAAGTCCTGTCGGCAAGCATTGGTCGTCATGAGATTCACCTCGTTGCAATGTACAACAGGCTTGTTGATAAGAACTAGGAATACCTCAACGCAGCATCTTTGAACTCCGGCACGTGCAATATTTTAAATTAGCCTTGTTGAATTGCTGGTGGTCAATATGCTGAGATCTGGGGAATGCTTTGCTCAGCTAGAACCATCCATAAGTCGATAGGTTGGCCTTGTCTTACCATCTACGTAATCCAAGAAATTCACAAATAAATATTTATTAACACATGCATATAAATGTAAGAATATATTCTAATAAAATCTAAAATTCTTAATTCAAGCAACCTTGTAATTTAGACTAAGAGATGAATCTTACAGTCTTTTTTTCTTGTTTTACCTCTCCACGCAAATAAAAGAAGGCTATTATTAATGTTGTAAAGTGAGCAATTTGACCTAAGATTTTTGGTGTAGAATTGTTCATATGTTGCTAAATTATGGAACTATACTTGTAAGCATATTTTACTATAGGATTAATCATTCTAAAGAATGATATTAAAACTCCTTTGAAAACCATTATTGTGCAAAAACTAGGATCTAGTTTTTGTACAATATTATCATCCTTGTTCAACAATAATCATAAATATTAGATAAGAGAGTTGTCTATAGATTCAAAAAAAATCTTTGGAACTTAAAATAATAAAATGCCAATTGGAATTCTAGCCAAATTTTGGATGAATCTGATTTGTTTGGGTTGAATATCAATAAATAAATATATGTATATATATATATATATATATGAACTCTAACCTGCTTGTTTTTGTGAAGTAGATCTTGACCAAAAACAAATCCATTTTAACACAGATTTAACATATAGATTCGCGTTTCATGCACACTTTACATGTGTGTTCTTGTCATTCAATACCATTAATAAACTTGTGCTTACCAAACTTTGGAACACAAAAAAAAATTGGACTAAACTTTCTAAAGATACCCCAAATGAACACTCCAAAATCGTGTCGACCTACGGTACAAACTAAATAGGACAGATCGATGCTTCACTTTCTCCACATCGAGGATGTCTCCCACAAGCAAACGCTTCTGCATGTCAATTGTAAATTCTTGAAAGTTTGAGAAATCTTTTTATGCATCAGTGCGCTGCTTCACGCACGCGCATCAGTTGCCTACTTTGTGACGATTATAGCATTCAACGTGCTATCATCTCTTTCACATGCAATTAAATTCAATCACTTCATGACAGTGCTTACACTGCACATCTACAATTAGTTTCACATTTAAATTCATGTATGTCGATCGAAGCCCAGTCCCAAAGTTCAAATCACAGCAGCTACATGTCTATTCAACGCACCGACTGAGTTTATCAGTATCCCGAGGCATGTGCGCCATCGAAGCATCCAATTACGAATCTAATGTTGAAGATCGAACACATGCCCACTTGGTCCATTATTCTGGATCGAATCAAGTACATGCCCATTTTGTCCATTACAACAGATGGAAGTCAATTCCATGTTGGACAGATGTATTTATCCACCTTCCGGTCCACTACAACAGATGGAAGTCAATTCCATGTTGGACAGATGTATTTACTTACCTACCTAGATCAGTGCAGAAAGTTATGGATCTGATCTCATCAAGCTCACGAGGCTGTGCCTTAGTTCTCTTGTTTTTTGACTGTTTCATTTTACTACACTATTAAACTATTCTGTGTAGGATTGTTGTTGTATTCCTGCTGTTATCCATTCACATTCAAGTCGTGAAAAACACGAGTCTAACACTGCTATCTTACACTAAACCCTCAAACTCAGCAGGTGGACCTAGGACAGTCCGAACCTCGACTAGTCGGAGTCAGAGGCCCAGCAAAATCTAGACAAAAGGTTGACATAGTTTACATACTGAAATAGTTCATTTTGCAGATTCTTCACACTAGCACAATGAAATTCATCATAAAACTTAACCACTTCCATCACTACTAACATGTAAATATATACAATAATTTGATGCCTGCAACATGCAACTCTTCGATTATTTGGGAGCTGTGATTGAATGTAGAACAATGTGTTCATTTTGGAAAATGAATTCTAGCCCTACTTGATTCTAAGTGGGAAATTGTGAATACCTTCATGAACTGTCGCAATAGTGCCTTCAATTCTGCATGACGCTATTGATTTTTACATATACATGAGGTGAAATGTATATGGTCACTGAAATTGAAAACTAGTCATGTATTAAATAATTCCAACTATATTGAGAAATAATATAGTACAATTTAATCGTGCTCCTTTCATTCAAATGTAATCTGGAAGTTGTTGGCAAAAAGAAAATGAACAGAAAATCGACATGAAATATGAAATAGAACAAAGTATTGGGAATATGAAAGTGTATAGAAGTAATATGAGTGATATATATATATATATATATATATATATATATTTTACCATACTAATTTTTTTTTAGTTAAAATTTAATATTTATACCACTTTTTTTTAATTGAGAATCCCATTGAAAGTAAAACTTAGATAGTTTTAAAAATCAAATTAAATAATTATTTGAAATTACAAATATGAAAACATATTATATTGTATTATATTTTATATATTTAATTACTAAATTTATATATATAATTAAAATCTAAATTTAGAATCTTTTATAATCATTTTGATCCTAATTTTGGCCTTCTTTTTTCAAGTACCTAACATCTTTTCCTTTCCATCTCATTTGTATCAAAGTGTGGTTTTCCTCCTATTTGTGAAAGTAGATAAAAATTAGATTTCTTTTCTTCCTTTCAAAAAAATTAGAATAATGTCTTAGGCTTTGTCTTCTATTTCAACTACTAGATTTCTAAAAATCCTAGATCGGCAATTGGATTGACTATATTGCTATTTTTTAGTATTAATATATATAAATGACAAATCTAATACACACTCAAATTCCATGGATCATCTCTTTGTAAACATATTACATCAACTATTTATAATTCTTTTAAGTATGGATTTTTTTATTATTTATAAATTCTTCATATATTTTATAATATTTTCTTTTAGAATCAACTACACCTAGCTTCTTTCGTTTGGCTTCTAAAAGACCATCTTCCAAACAATCTTAGCAAACCTTTCAATCTCTTTTAACTAGATTTCCATCTTTTATAATTTTCATCCAATCTTCATCAATTTAGTTTTCATCCATCTTATCTTTATATAGCACATTCTTCATCTATCTTATCTTTTTATAGTACATTCTTCATCCATCCTACCTTCATTTAATGTAATCTTCATTCTTGTTACTCAGTTTGATGAATCTTTAGTTAACATTATCGTTCTTTTAGTTCACATCCTTGCTTTTAGATATTTTGGAATGATTTGGAGGTTTTTATAAATAAATAAAAATATTACAAGAAAATTTAAAAACTTTAAAAACTTCCAAAAAAATACAAATTATTATTGATTTGATAGATCTATCTTATGAATAATTTTTAGCCACCAATTATTGCAACAATTGAAATAAGAATTTGAGGTTGTTTAATTGCTCTATAGGATCTTTTTTTTCTTGTTTGTCATCCATCTAATAAACAAATAATGGATAAGCTTTGACAAATCAAATCAAGTACCAAGATTGCTTTTCTTTATTTTTCTTAAAGGTAATAATCATATTCAATATTTTCCTATTGGAGGTAGCTAATAGATGCTTAACTAGTCTCTAACGGGCATCTAAAGTACTAACTTCTAAAATTTCTACTCTTTGTTTATTTAGCAATCAATATTTAATTTTTATTATTTAACAATGAATACTCAATTCTATATAGTCCAAACCATCTACTTTTAAATTTATTAATGTATTCCTTAAGCTCTTTTGGATACCATAATATATAGTCACTAATATAGAAATCTTTTTGTTTTTATATTTTTTGTTACTCCATAGTAATTTATTTCATTCTTTGGTCCCTGCTACCTCTTTGGCTTCATTTTTTATACTATCTTTTTGCTCAAAGTCATCCACTTTGGTTATTAAGATCCAAGTCCGTGTATAGTCAATTCTCCCCTTTTCTTTGCCTAATCAAAATGATATATTCTATGAACATCAATGGATGCAATTTATATACGAGCTGAAAAGGAGTATAATCAATACTCACTTTGTAAGTTTTTTGATATGAATCATATTATATAGAAGTGATAATTCCAATTATTTTTTTTTCTTTTTTGACTACTTTACTTAGTAATTGGCCAATAACTTTGTCAATTGATCTTACTTACTTGTTACTTCTCAAAGATAAGAACTTAGAAGACAAATAAATAAATGAAACTTTTTTCAAAGAAAAATAATAAAATAAAGATAAATGAATATGTATATTCAAATAGAAACTTGAATGGCTATTGCAAGAAGACTAATAAATTAAAGATCCTTGAAACAAGACTAGAAACAAGAAAAGAATTTATAAAAGTGAAGAAGGTTTTACTATTATCTCTATACATATTATTTAACTAAGAGCTACGTTGTGACATTCTACAAAACCTCTGACATGTATTCAATTTGTGAAATATGTGTCTTAACTTGTAAGACAAGTTTTCTATATGTGGGTCATATAGTTAACTTGTACCATAAGCTATTAATACATATAATACATGGCTAACTCGTTGGCCAAGTATTCAACCTAGCAAATACCTATAAACATGTATAAAGATGAAACTGCTATCATATTGGAAAGTAATATAATATATAAACATAAGATAAAATATCATAATAAAAAAATAGAAAAAAATAAAATAAAAAATAAAAAAATAAACGATATAGATATTGATAGTTTATCTCTAAAGATAAGTCAAGATATGTTGGTATGGAATTGAAATGGACTAATATGGTACTAAGGTAAAGAGACATGGGATGAAGTAGAGTCACATGGGCTTGTGTTGACTTCTGGACCTCTTTTTCCTTCTTCTTTACTTGTGTTTTCTCCCCTTAGATACAGCTAGCTATTCTTTGGAGG